TTTGCTTTCTGTTCTTAAATGCCTGTATGCGGTCCTGATTTTCTAACCATCTTCATACTCTTCTTTAATCGGTGAAAATTTACGAAAAAATGTTGGCCTCAATCCGAAGAGCCTGAATTTTGATTTTGTTCGTGTTTTGAAATGAATTTTTCAGTTGCGTATTGAAGACGCGATCTGTTCTTTTTTGTTTTCCTTTTTTTTTTATCCTCTGTTTGGCTTCTGAGAAAGTGAAGGAAAATAACTTAGCTACTAAGGTTCTGCTCTTGCTTTTAATGGCGGAAATTGATTTTCTATTTTTGATCCAAACAAACTTTATTGTTTTTAAAAAAAAAAAAAAATTGAGCAACTACTTTAATGACTAATTAATTGGCATTAATTCCAAAGGAAATTGAAAATACAGTGCAACAACCTTTCATTGCTATCTGTTCATTTTACTCATTAATTATTCGAATTAGTTCTTCTCTCCAGTTTGAAATCTCCAACGCGTTAATAAATTCTCTTCTTCCTCTTAAATACCTTGTGTATGAGTTTATTATCTACACATAAATAAATACATAATTTACTTCTCTTGGCAATATTAAGAATAATAATCAATTTTGTATTTCTTTGTCTGATTCTTAGTTGTACAGGCGACAGTTCCTATCCCTTATGCATATCATGCACCTTTTATTTTTAGTGAAAAAAAAAATATATATTATTGAGTTATTAAATCGTTGACGTTAATTTTTTATATATTATTAAATGAATTATAATTTTTAAAAAGGAAATTTGAACCCAACCTTAGAGTTAGGGTGAATGATTAATCGATTAAATATATAGTCATTGAATCATGAAATTCAAGTGCAACGCTAATTTTTTATATTTAATATTTTAATTTATTTAGAATTTTATGCATAGGAGTTCTTTGTTTATGATCTGATCATATACTTTAGTGCTATTTAAACGCACAACCCCTTTTTAGATCTATTTATTAATTTTTGTTGTTTATAGTTTTTGATTTATTATATATTTATTATGAATACTTTGCAGTCTGGGAAGGTGTATTTGCAAAAATGCAGTTCCCAAAATTCAACGTTGTCGGCGGCATCCTCAGACGGAAAGATTCCGATGAATCAAATAGTGCCGAAGTTTCATGATTTAAATTTCCCGCCATCTCCGAGAAAACCGTTACATAATCTGTTTGATGAATCTAGCTTGGAGCTGAAGTTAGATTCCTCTGCCTCCTCGGCGATCAATTACCAGAGTGTTTGTACTCTTGATAAAGTGAAATCCGCGTTGGAGAGGGCGGAGAAAGAACCAGTTGTTAGGAAACGATCAACGACGTCGTTGTGGAGATCATCGCCTTCGTACTCTACATCGTCTTCGTCAATCCCGGATGATGCGAATGAAGCGAAGTTTTCTTCCCCGGTGGCAGTAGGTTGCCCTGGTTGCTTATCGTATGTGTTAATAATGAAAAACGATCCAAAGTGTCCTAGATGCAGTTCAGTTGTTCTGGTGCCAGCAATGAAGAAGCCTCGAATCGATCTAAATATGTCAATTTGAGGGAGAAAAGAGGATGGACGGAAGGTATCTGTTTATGTTTCTTTTGTAAAGCAATAGATAGATGAATTAGTGGTTGGAAGAATAGACGTTTTTTTTTTTTTTTTT